ATTATGAATAAAAGGTACATACAATCCTTGTTACAAAAGGAAACAAAAATAAAGGACATAATATCCTTCCTAAAACATGACTCTAATAATTACAAAATATTTACATTCCTTTTCTCCTAAATATTGACTTATCCCAATACTCCCCCTCAAGTTGGAGCATAGATATTACTCATGCCCAACTTGACATGCGAGTCATCAAACCTCCTACTACACACGACATAGGTAAGAATATCTGCAAGTTATTCCTCTGAGTTCACAAATGGTATTGACACAATCTTCTTCTCCAGCTTTTCTTTGATAAAATGTCTATCAACCTCAACATGCTTAGTCCTGTCATGTTGTACTAGATTCTCAGCAATTTCTCTAGCAGACTTATTATCACAATACAACTTCATTGCCTCTTTCTGTTTAAAACCGAGACTCTAATGTAACTTCCGTAGCCAAAGAATCTCACACGCACCCTTTGCCATACCCCTATACTCGGCTTCAACAGAGGACCGAGATACCACGTTATGCTTCTTGCTCCGCCAAGTAACCAAATTATCTCCAACAAATGTAAAATACCCAGATGTAAACCTTCTATCAGTCACATCACTTGCCCAATCAGCATCAGTAAATCCTTCCCCTGTTACGGATATACCAAGCAGGACCATCCATGTACCACTACTACATGGTGCAGTTAGATTAACACACAACCTAGTTACCCTTATCTCAACCTCTATGATTTACAACGTAATTACCTGCACTATCAATTTCTCATGACCACTAACTAACATGTCACACAAGTACACAAGTTCTATGGGAATACTTCTAATAGGATTCTAGGGTCACATTGTCATAATAATTATCATTCATATCATTCATATTATCGAGAAGTTAAATACACATATATATCACCATAAGGCATCCCATACATGTAACCGAGGTATATATTACCTGGATAGCTCACTAACCAATATTGGCCCACTAAGCCCTACTTAGTCACTAGTAATACTAATTTTAATATTTAAGATCAATTCGCAACATATTGACCAAAAATCAACTCTATGTCCATAGTGGGGTACACAACCCTATATAATTCGATTTGGAACATCCGCCCATGGATTTCTAATCCATAACTTCCCAAGAATCTGATTAATCTTCTAGAACATTATCCTAAAATTTCTGAACCATTCAACGGTCAGATCTCCGCCAATTGCTAGAATTAGGTGGCGGTCGACAATTAGTTTTACAAACTTAAATATTCAATTAATAAAGATCCGTATGTCAAATTCTTGAACCATCAGTTTCTAATGTCTTCAAATATTACGTGCTATAACACATTAAGGTTTGGCGACAATCCAACTGTAGGATCGTCGATGATTATAATGATCAAGAGGTGGACCCTAACAAAACTATGTTCGAATGATGGAATTTCGTCCATTGGATGTCACATATGGAATCGAGGTATCAAATTTAACCTAGAAGGGTCAAGTGGGTCCTCGGGCCACTCGCTGCCACCACCACACACCTCCGCATGCAGAGGCTGGGCGTCCCAACTAGCCAGAAAATTCACCTAACTTAAAAAATTACCAAATTTTACAAAATTGTAGAACACAACAAGGGGAACAACTTTCCTACCTGGGCCAAAGTCCAATTCGGTCAGGAAACACCTGAAAACCACCTCGATCCACTGGAAACCCTAGAAATTGGTGTTCTCGATTCGACCTCAAAATGAACTCTTATGCATCAGCCACTACTTGGGCTTTGTTCTTAAGGTTAGGGAGAGTATATTGGTGGTGGTAATCGATGGAGTTAACTTTGGAATTGACGGATCACCGCCATGGAACCATCGCACCCATTGGTGAGGTTCTTCATGAGTCTGAGCCCAATTTCATCGATTTTGGGGTGGAATTGGTAAAAGAAGGGTCGTGCAGTATTTCCCAAGTGGTTTCTCTACGTAATTCGCCAAAATTTGGCCTGAGAAAGCATCGGATTCCATGGTTCCCGCCGGGTTGGGTCGCAAAGGGAAACGGGTCGAGGAATCTCATGCTTCTCCTTTCTCTCCCTTCCCCTCATTTGTTTCTTTTCTAATTGGGTAGCACCCCCTCCTTTCCCTCCCTTATCTCTTCCTTCTCCAATCACAGCCACACACGTGGCACATCAGATTTGCTGAGACTTCTAGATTTATGGTCAAATGACCATTTTGCCCTCAATTTCATTTTTTTATAACTCTTTTGTTATAACTCAAAATTATATTGTGTTTGTGCCCATGCGTCCGTGTTGACGAGTATTATCCGAATATGTAAAGAAATCTGGAAAATCATGAAAGGATCAAATACGTTCGTGAAAAATCCTGTTTAATTCAATAGGGGTAATTTCATCCTTTTACTTATCGGGAAAAAAAAAAAACTATACTCCGAAAATACAAACGCATCAAAACTAAGAATGTGAAATATGTAATTTTAAATAGTGAAATCTGGGGACGAGATTTCACGCATCTCCTATTGTTTGTCAAAGTTGTTTGAAAGGAAAGTTTACAAAACTTCATTTTCAATCAGTGTCAACTAGGTCTGTAATCCCTTTTGAAGTTATCCATAATGATTTGTGAGGACCTGCACCATATATATCCATTGATGGGTTTAGGTACTATGTCATTTTTGTCGAATATTGTACAAGGTTTTGCTGGATGTTTACCTTAATCAATAAATCAGACATTTCTTATGTCTTTGCTACATTTTATCAGTTTGTGTGTACTCAATTTTCAGCAAAGATAAAAATCTTGCAGAGTGATGGTGGAAGAGAGTATATAGGAAAAACATTTCAATTTTTTCTCACTTAAAATGGTATTGCTTACCAAAAGTCTCGAATGAGAGACGATACGCTGCTTCTTGGAACTCTACGACATTAGATTGGATCCAAAAATACACAATATCTGGTTGTGGACCTTCTGGTATCGAGGCAGCCTGCCCAATCTGCATTAGAATAGTTGACTAAAATAGAAGAAGTAGAAAACCATCGAACAACAGGAGATGTCAAGACGAGTTATGGTTAGATATTGTAGGGTGCCAACCATTTATCGATAAAGGGGAGGATTAGTGAGATCATTACAATCAGTGCGGGAAAGTGTACCTTTAGAGGCCATAGGGGTGGAAACAGGTTTACAGTCCAAGAGATTGCTGTGTTTGAGAAGATCGAATGTGTACTTGTTTTGAGTAAGATGAACAGAATCAGAGTGCTAAGTAACCTCCACACCAAGAAATAATGTAAATGTCCCAGATCTTTGATATCGAATTTGGCCCCCAATGTTTGAATAAATGAATGTAAAGCCGACGATTAACTACCAGTGAGAACCATGCCGTCCACATAAAGTAGCAAAACCATAATGGTTGAATTATCTTTGTAAACAAACATAGAATTGTCAGCCTGACTTTGAATAAAACCTGTGCGAATAAGGAAGGAATTGAACTTTTGAAACCATGCCTGATGAACTTCCTTGAGGCCATAAATGGCCTTATGAGGTTTACATACATGATTGGGAAGAGTAGGATCAACAAAACCAGGCGATTGCTGCATATAAACTTCTTTAGAAAGATTGCCGTGCAAAAAAGTTGTTTTTAACATCAAGTTGCCTAAAAGGCCAACCAGAAATAATGGCAAAAGAGAGAACAGTTCTAATTGTTGTGGGTTTTACCACTAGGCCAAATCTATCAAAATAATCAACACCAGATTGTTGATGAAAACCTTTGGCAACCAAATGTGTCTTGTATCGCTCAATCGTACCATCAGATCATCGTTTGACTTACCTCATCATTAAATGATTACATTCATAGTTTTTGTCTTATTACGTTTTAGACAAAAACATACAAAGTTACACTAAATTTTAAGTCTTCATTCACTTGAGGCACATAAAAGAACAACTGAACCAGTGCGGCAGTGCCCCAGTCGGTGCATAATCATTTGGTTAAGAAGTCAGACTTACGCACAACTTTCACAAACACTCAAACACAAACAATGCATATTGGGAACCTCCAACAGACGCATGCCTACTCTATCTTTCTCTTGAGTCATCCCATGGCTCCGAGACCATAAGCAACAATGGGAGCAAATATGTGTTGAACCCAGTCCAGACTTGTTCTAAGTTTTGACACCAACACTAAGCATACGAACAACTACATTCCTTGTAGGAATTCCTTCAGAGAAAATTTTCATTGTGACCAGAATACGGATGGTACACCATGTGTTTTTATATAAGTGATGGGAAATTTTACTTTTTAAGTTATTAACTTTTTAACACACATATCTCACAATATGCATAGTGACACGTGGTATACCATCCTGTGTTTTGATCATACTGAAAAATCTCTCCCACAGTTAAACATTTGTCCTTTTCACCCCAGGCAAGTAAAACACGTTCTTTACATTATATTTCGCAGAGCGGATTATAGGGAGGAAAAATAAGGTGGTTGGTAAAAGAGGAAGGAATAGTCTACAAAATCCCTTCAAAGCGGTCAGATTGAGAAAGTGAAATATATCAAATAGTTGTAAGGTTTTGGTATGGATAGGAAATGGTAGAGATACAGAATGTTCTGGCTACATGTGGAATCACCTAATAAAGTAGGTAAACAAGAGAACTTGCAAGTTTGAAAGGGTTCAAAGACTTGTCAAGTTGAATTTATTGACATGAAGTCTTACCCTAGGTTTCAGAAAGACTTAGGTATCAGTGAAATAAAAGCATAACTTTTGTTGACGATGCAATGCTAACGATGACGTTTGGATGAAGATGGTAAGGATTATGTTATCAAGGGAACATGCATGTAGTCCGGTGTATAAAATCTTGATCTACTTTGTTTAGTTTTCTTTAATTTATTGTGAAGAATTTGACAATGGCTATTAGAATTTTTTGAATATCCTTGTGGGTTCATAAATGATTTATATGGTGAAGTACCAGACTCACTACTAGAAATTTGGAAAATTGCCACTGTTCAATCCGTGGCCTTGAAAAGTCAAGATGTGCTGGGTCATTTCAAATGCGACAATACTTTATTGAGAAAACATCTACTTTCTTTTTTCTTTAATACAAGCGACAGTGTAGGAGGGGTCGTTCAAGACCTCAGGCGTGGGAGGGTTCTTAACAAATTGAGTTACATGGTCTCTAACAAGAAAACATCTTATTTAACGATAGCAATCTAAAAGGAAGAAACAATAAAAGAAAAGAAAATACATGACAGTAGAAAATAAAGGGCAAAAGAGGAACCAGCCGCTTGGACCTTGGACCAAAGAACTCAAATGCGACAGTATTCCTGGACTGTAGGGTCAGCCTTACCGTCAAGTACTTCTTTGAAAAATTCTACATGATCCAGTGGCTTGTACAGTCGAGGGTGATCCTCGTCCACGAGTTCGTGTGGTATGCTCACCACGTCTTTCATTAATGTGAATTGCCTAACCGAGAATCTTACCCCATCGTCGTCAACGAAACTTTATGTCTACAAGGTCGTATTTTATCATTGCTCCAAATCTATTTTGAGAAATTTGAATCAAAATATGCATGAGATGGTATAATTATACTTGAAGAGGTTAATATTTCGAGATCGATGTACCTGAAATACATCTCCTTCTAGGTATATAACGGATGACGGCAGTGGATCAAAGACTATCCAGTCACCATCCTTTGTATACATCTCCAGACCACAGACCTGGTTTTGATGAAGTATGGTGGAGAAGCTATTGTCCGTATGAGGGGTTAACCCCACATCCCCAGTTTTCTTGGGATTTTTGTATTTATTGAATCGGAGATGGTAAGAAGTTGATTGAACGTGAGCATCATGATACTTCTCTACACCGTAGTTTTCAAATACTATTCTTGTCACAACTTGATTTAGTTCTTCCATCGCTTTTGCATACTCAAGTGCACCCTCACTGGTCAATAAAGAACATTTTCTAAATGGGTAAGTTACAAGTGAAGTCAATATGTTAAAACATTAATTAATATGCATATAATTTAATGTTCTCTTGATCACCTGATGATAACTAAAAAATGCATATATAATCACCCACCCTTGGATTTGATATCAAGGATGGAGAATAAATAGATTTGCTTCTTAGCCCCAAAAAAATATTTGTTTCTAATGTTTTAATCAAAACCGTTGATTTAAAATCCTACGGTATGTAATATTTTGGTCCATAAACTATACTACTACAGGAAAAAATGTAAATAATGTCTTCAGTTTAAATCTTAAAGACGAGAGTTGTTGATATGTAAAAAATATGCATAAAAATCATATACCAAAAATGGTCGTTTCCATTAAGCCAAAAATAACGAGTGAACTTCTGAATTTCTCCAGAAGTGTCACTAAGCACCCCCAAGGCCTCATGGGCAGGAGTGATAGATAAATATATTTACTTGGAGTGGAAGACAATGAAGCCATGATTTTGTCTTCTCTTCTCTTGGATTCAGAAATAGTATCGCAATACTCTCAATAGGATCGGTATTCAATACGAGAACAAGTAGTACCCGAAAAGAGAGACCAAAATCAACCTTATATGCTGCAACTGCTCTTTATTTGAATTGATAACCGCCTTTAGTTTTCCCTCTAGTATAGAATTAATCCGGTGTAATTCATATAAAAATCATTCTTACATATCAAATATAAGAATATATATGGACTTGAATGGTCAATTAGTACCCTTCCACTTAAATATTTGCACTCTGGTTTCAATGACACTCAAATATAAGTCATTCTTACAACCTAATCATTCAGTTTACAAGAGCCATCACTTTAACATTCTTCTAAAATATATATACATACATACATACATATATATATATATAGGCCTTTTAAGGGAAGAGATCCACATTTAAAAAAAAAATGGAGACACCTTGTTGACCGTTAGATTTAGTTTTAATGAAATTTTGTGGTTGAGATTAAATCACAGGCCACAGAATCTCAACCACATAATTTCATTAAAGCCAAATCTAACGGTCAAGTAGGTGTTCTCATTTTTTTTTTTTTTTGAAATATAAGGATCCCTTCCCTTAAAGGCTTTATATATATATATATGTGTGTGTGTGTGTGTGTGTGTGTGTGTGTATGTATGTATATATGGACACAATATTGAACATCACTGCCTTGAGATTGCAATATTATATTTCCTTTGTGTGAGAAACGTGGTTTTAAGATTTTAATCTCAACCATTGATATTAAATCCAATAAAATATGACTATGCATATAGGGCCATCAGGTGATCAAAAGAACAGGACTCCTAAGACACAACATACCTCTGGAAACATAATTATGCGTGTTTCAAAAATTGTTGTTAAGACAACAATATCTACAAGATGGAAGAACGTACGAGTCTTGCACCCAATATGTGTTTGTCATTCATGACTAATCCGGCATTCGAAAAGCTTCTCTTCATAGGTACATGTTGAGGCTTTCTCTCGTATTAACGGTTGAATTCACACTGCATCAGGCCCAATGTTGTTGAACTTGATCTTCATCGATCTTTATGCGAGTGATGCAAATGACAGAACTTTGTTGTCGCCCTCGAAGCCATTCTCATGTCCGAAACGCTGGCGGCTTTGAAATTGATGTCAAATTGTAATACTTGTACTTCCAAGTCTCAAATTCCTCTACACTACAATTGGTCATCCATAATAATGCGTCGGCGCAAAAGCTTTTCTCTTGCTACTTTTGTTCTTGAAGAACAAGCCTGCTATGAGCATAGCAAACTACATTACTCAACCGACCCGAGGAACTATCGATCAAGTTGAACTATCGACAATCTATACTAAGCCAACTGCCCCTTCTCCTATATCTGGCTGAGATGGAAAAGCATGGGGTGGACGGAAAAAGGGAAGGAATTTTCTCTTCCTTTCCTGTACGGAGGAAGGAAGGAGGGGTGTGGTGTGGTTGCAGACCCATCACCATTCTACCGCGTAAAAATTGGACAGATTGGAGGAATGAAACAAATTAAATCGCAATACGGTTTGATGCAAGCTCAAATTGTAAACATGGGAACATAAACCTGTATGCAGCACATATGAGAAAATGGCTCTTACGGTCAGAAATGACGGATTAAGCAGCAATTCAAGGACTCCCCTCAACAAATCTAATGAGAAAATTGACCAGTACCATCAAGTCTCGACCAATACGAAACTAAGTTGCAATTCTTCTGGGTGCAGACCAAAAGGAAATTCCTAAGCAGTTTCATTTTATATCAACTACAAAGAGAGCATTTTGGTGTTCCTTTCAGCAGATTGGTCCTATAATAATTCATCATCAGGCAGACTATTACCGTTTCTTGTGATCAAAGAAAAGAGAACAATTCAATGTCACCGAAACTATGATTTTTTGTTCAACAGGATCCAAAACCAGTCAGTCCAACTAATACCAATCATGCAATCGAACGAGAAGGAGTTCCTTACCTTTCCTACTTGCATTGAACAGATTAAAACAGGAATCCAACAATATATGTATGCATATGCCAAAGTCAGAAAATTCTGATCAGATGGAAAACATCAAGCAATTACTAAACTAACTCAAAAATTGCAACTAACAAGGCACCAATAGCAAAAGCTTTCCACAATATCGATCCAATCCCTAACTACGACTGATTAAACCAGCAAAGCGAACCCAAGTTTCTAAAGTTACCCAACAATGTAAACAATTTCTACTACGCTACTAAAGGCATAAAAAACCCGACATTTCAATTTTCATCTCGAAGTTTCAACATCTCTATTCCATTCCACAAACTCGCATTGAACAGAGGCAATCAGGAAACAACGATATATGTATATACATAAGCCAAAGTCAGAACCATCTGATCAGATGAGAAACATAAAGCAGTAACTAAACAAGCTCATAAGTGCAAGTAACAACACATCAACCCGAAAAGTTATCCACAATGTAAACCGAAATCCCTAATTCAGGTCCATTAAAACCAGCATTGTAATCCAAATTTCTAAACTTACCCAACATTGTAAGCAATCGTGCTAAAGCCATAGAAAATCGACATTTGAATTCTCACCGCAACAATGTCGAATTGCAATCCACTAAGCACCCCTAAGATTCAATTGCCTAGCAATCTCATAAGAAATGAAAGCATCAACAGCAGCATACTGAATCTGATCATAAGTAAGCCACTGACTGTCCCACCTGCTCATCGTCACCCTCTTCGGCTTCTGCAGCTCCTTCCCCAGCACTGCGCTCGCCAACCGCTTCAACCCGGCGTTCCTCAGGTCCGGAAACCCCAACCTACGCGCCGCGAAACCCCGAAGATCGACCGCATTGGCGACCCGCAGCTCGTAGTCCAAAAAGTAGCTTCTCACAATCGCTCTCGATCCCGACGCCGACGAACGTGAAGGCGGGATTGGCGAGGAAGTTGGATAGGGACTGGGGAATCGATTCTGAGTGTATGACCTGGAAGATGAGGCAATTGGGGTCCAAGCAGACGCCGGGAAGCACAGTGCCGGGCGGGATTTGGAGGGAGCCAGCGTAGTTGGGGCCTGTGCAGAGCTGCAGGGGTGGCGATCGGGTTGTCAGAGTTGCGGCTGAAGTTAGGGCGCCACTCGACGTCAAGGCCGACGATGCGGTGGTTTGGGGTTGGCGAGGGTGACGGTGGAGAGCCAGGATTCCACCATGGCGGGGCTGTTGGTGAGCATGGTGTGGATTCTGTCGCCGTAAAACGTCACGTCGTACTCGTTGTGGGGTGTCGTACGGTAAGCTCGTAGTCCACTATGCTGATCGCCATCCTGCACAGAGAGAGAGAGAGAAGAAGAAGAAGACCGCCTGTTGACCTCCTCTGGGGATTTGGTTTGGAAAAGTGAAAACCGAAACGCAGCGTTTCATCTCGTCGACAGAAATCCCGCTGGACCCGCATAAAGTTCCGGGTTTAAAATTTTTTCCAACCCGCCTTCTTCTCCGTATTTGAAAAGCAGAGATTAGTTTATGACAAAGTGACAGTTTTGCCCCTGTATTATGCGGTTTATTATATGGCAAGAAAGTTAATTTCACGAGGGTAAAGTGGAGATTTGAAAGTGTTACAGTTATTTATCGAATCCTAGTGGTATTAAACGTGTAACAACTTTGAATTTTTTTTTAAGTGGAACTCGTTTAAATTGCTTTCCCTCTAAGTAATCTCTAGCAGCCTTGATCCGAGAGAGCCGCAGCGGGTGAGTCGGTCCGCAGCGGCTTTTAGTATGTGATCCTAAACCGAAAATACAAATTGATCAAATAATTGTAATTAAAACGTCAAACAACGGATCATGATAAAATCAGTGAATTACAAGACGAGTGCTTTGGCACATGCTTCCATTCCTCAAAACAAAACCAACATTTTGTCTACGAGATGGAAGAATATATGGGTTTCTGCTCCCACCCTTGACATTCGCGGCATACTTCTCCCACACTATTGCTTTTGTCGAGCATGTACTTTCCTTGCGTGATTCTTCAGACATTGAAAAGTTTCGCCTTCACGCGATGACATCAACAGTTCATCTTGTGTCGATGGCTGGATTCGCAAGCTATTCTGCATAATGTTGTGTTGAACTTGATTTTGTGTTGAGATTTAGGGGTGGTTTGGGAGTGAGGTGCTTAAAAAAAAAGCACCCATGAAAAAAGGCTGTGACGGTTTAGGTGTTTAGTAAACTGAAAAAAAAAGAGCTTATTTTGGAAGTTGATGTGAGAAAAAGCTGAAATCAAAGGAAAAAGCTGAAGCTACTATTTGTAGCTTTGGAAAACTGGCTTTTTTTCAAAGCACACAGAGTTATAGTGCTCATTTAATGAAAAGATCCATTATCAGATTGTTTTTTTTTTTCAAAAGCACTTTTACAAAAAAGTTTACCAAACACTCTGCTGATTTATTTCATAGCCGCTTATTCTCACAACACAGCCACTTATTCTCACAGCAGCTTTT